CACACACACGCACACACACACATGCACACACACACGCGCACACTCATGAAACTATCTGTGGAAATCGATGTATAATGAGTTGGATCAGTTCTTCTTTCCTTGAAATCTTGATGGGGTGTCCTTCTTTCCAATCCATCATCACTTATTCCTCCTCGCAAATCTTCTTGAATCGATGATGAAGAATGCTTGTAGTTACTTTATTGTTTGACTTCAGTACTGATAATCAATCACTTTGTTAGTATAGCACTTTTATCAGACTGACACACACACACACGCACACACACACGCACACACACACGCGCACACTCATGAAACTATCTGTAGAAATCGATGTATAATGAGTTGGATCAGTTCTTCTTTCTTTGAAATCTTGATGAGGTGTCTTTCTTTCCAATCCATCATCACTTGTTCCTCTTCGCAAATCTTCTTGAATCAATGATGAAGAATGCTTGTAGTTACTTTATTGTTTGACTCCAGTACTGATAATCAATCACTTTGTTAGTATAGCACTTTTATCAGATTGACAAACACACACATGCTGACACACACGCACACACTCACTCACGCCTCCGCACACACATCACACACACATTCACAAAATCGATTAAATTTTTACACTTTTTCTTTTATTCAATATAAAATCAACTTTTATTGGTTATTATTAATAAAGTATTTTCTGAAATTAGATCTCATCTTATATCTATAATTTATTGATTAATGTTTCATTTGTTTTTTTTTATATGAAGAATTCAATGAATGGATTCTAAGACACCATTGATTACATAATGATCTTTATTGATTCCATTCATAAACATTCATATAGACATGAAGTAATGCTTTGAAAGATCTATTGAATGTATAGAAATGGGTAGTACATTATCTTGTAAGTTCATTGATGATTCAATTCTATGTTATATTCTTGTTATAATTATGATTTGAATGATTATGATGATGAATTAGATGATTGTTACTATCTTAGAGCGAGAGAGAGAGAGAGAAAGAGAGAGATTGTAGTGAACTATATTATATTACACAGAATACATTCATTGAAGTATTCAATAAGAAAGATGAATTCAACGAAGAGTTCTGCACTTTTCAGAGATTAAAGGTACATCTTGGTAATGAATGCCAAGTAGAATGAAACTTTGGTCCAGGGTAGTCTGTCGACCACCTCCAACTATCATCTAACCTTACAATAATGCTCGCAGTGTTGAGTCACTTAGACGGATAGTTACATTGTTACATAATCAATAACATTTGATTTGCATTAATAATAAGGAATAGACATGCATGACATTGATCACTACCCAGTAATCAATCAATTGTCATTGTAGCTGACAACGATTGACTTCTTTCATATTGTTTTAATGTATGTTATATATGGTAATGACCGCACTTGATTGATCACTGGGTGGTGACCAATATCATGCGTGCCTAGTCATTATTATTAGTGCAGATCGAATGCTATCGATCATGTTGCATTGTGGCCACCAGTCTAGGTGACTCGACACTGCGGGAACTATTGTGAGATTAGATGGTGATTGGAGGTAGCCAACAGGAAACCCTGGATCCGAGTTTCGTACTACTTGGCACTCGTCTACACTAATAATAGTGACTAGACACGCATGATATTGATCACCACCAAGTGATCAATCAATTGACATTTTCAAAGTCGTACAATCGCAACTATATATGTGTATAGTTATTTTTTACAGGATGATATTAGTACTGATATTAAACTTCAGTTAGACACTGGTGACAATGAGGTTAAATAAACAAAGGTAGTAAACAAGGAAAGTTTCATAATCGTTTGATTGTTAATAGCTTAAATATTTATCAAAACATAGATGGGGAAATTATCATTTGGGAAAGGATTGCTCAGCATGATAAGATAAAATGTTGAGATTGAGATGAAATGTATTCAGGAGGATCGTAGAAAACTGAAATAAACCAGTTGGGGGTAGAAGATTCAAGGGGAAGGTGGAAGATGAAACAGATGACTGTAAAGGAACAAGAGAAAAAAGTTTTAATACATTAACACCAAGGTAGAAGAAGAGGTTGTACCAGTCTCTTTTGCACACACGAATCTGGTTTTTTTCCAGATGAATAGTTATTGCTTCGGCAATACAACGAAGATGCAGTCTAATTACCTTAGGAAGACTTCTATTTACCTTGTAGATGACTTTGAAAGGAGAGTCTGTCTTGATTGAGTGACCTGTGTTCACAAGATGTTCGATTATAGAACGTCTTATTAAGCCGTTGCCTCCTTCTTTTTAGCCACGGCGGACAATGTTCTTGAATTCTTTTGAATAAAGTAAGCATCGAACGATCTATATACCTAGTTCCATATGAGCAGGTAAATTGATAAATACACATTAAGTTGATCAGATGCGATAATTTATCTTTCAGATTATTGATCAACAATGATCGGTTAGAGAATAATATTCTCAATGTTGCTGAAGGGAAGGTTCTTTTCAAGGAATCCAAAATTCTTCTCTTTAAGATATATATATGGCTCTATTACCTTTGAAGTCAATGTTCATATATAAGGTTTTCTTTTCTACTGTCATTATTTACGTTTTTGGCATTCTGGGCCTCATCTTCTTATGAATGAATATCAAAGGATACCCGTTCAAACGACCCAATTCTTCATCTATAACTTCGAGGCTACAGATTCTTCCTGTAAAAAATAAGTATATATGTATATATATATAGTTGCAATTGTACAGCTTTGAAAATGAATTCATCGAACAGGCGAAAACTCTTCACTGAACTAATCTTTCTTATTTCACCATTATATTGTTGTTTCTTCATATGTTCAATAATTCTTTAGAGTTCATTTTATCTTAAATATAACCAGATAGTGATAAGAAGTTATATCAACTTCTCATTTAGTCCTTATGTTTTTTATTGATCTATTTCGTTCTTGGTTATATGATCTCTTGTCAAATCTATTTAGTTTTGTATATCTGTTTATTTGGAAAGCAGACGTAGCAGATAACTGCAAGGATACTCCACATTCTCTTCAGAAAGATTTGGGATGAGGAACAGGTACCAAAAGACTGGAAAGAAGGACTTCTAGTCAAAATACCATAAAAGACGATCTCAGCAAGTGTGATAATTACAGGGGCATCACTCTTCTCTCAATACCAGGAAAAGTCTTCAACAGGGTATTGTTAAACAGGATGAAGGACTCCGTAGACGCACAACTTCGCAACCAACAGGCAGGATTCCATAAGAATAGATCGTGTACAGACCAAATCGCAACTCTATGGATCATTGTGGAACAATCAATTGAATGGAATTCATCACTCTATATCAACTTCATCGACTACGAAAAAGCATTTGATAGCGTAGACAGAACAACCCTATGGAAGCTTCTTTGACACTACGGCGTGCCTCAGAAGATAGTCAATATCATACAGAATTCCTATGATGGATTAAACTGCAAAATCGTGCATGGAGGACAGTTGACAAAGTCGTTCGAAGTAAAGACCGGTGTCAGGCAAGGTTGTTTACTGTCACCCTTTCTCTTTCTCCTGGTGATCGACTGGATCATGAAGACATCAACATCTGAAGGGAAGCACGAGATATAGTGGATAGCTAGGATGCAATTGGATGATCTAGACTTCGCAGATGATCTGGCTCTTGTATCACATACGCAACAACAAATGCAGGAGAAGACAACCAGTGTAGCTGCAGCCTCAGCAGCAGTAGGTCTCAATATATACACAAACGGAAAAGCAAGATTCCCCGATACAACACAACATGTACCAATCCAATCACAATTGACGGAGAAGCTTTGGAAGATGTAAAAACCTTTACATATTTGGGCAGTATCATCGATGAACACGGTGGATCTGATGCAGATGTGAAGGCACGGATTGGCAAAGCAAGAGTAGCATATTTACAACTGAAGGATATCTGGGACTCAAAACAATTAGCAACCAACACCAAGGTCAGAATTTTCAATACAATTGTCAAGACAGTTCTACTTTATGGGGCGGAAACCTGGAAAACTACAAAAGCCATCGTCCAAAAGATACAGGTGTTTATTAACAGTTGTCTATGCAAAATACTTCAGATCCGTTGGCCGGACACTATAAGCAACAACCTACTGTGGGAGAGAACAAATCACATACCACTGGAGGAAGAAATCAGGAAGAAGCGCTCGAAGTGGATAGGACACACATTGAGGAAAACACTGAACTCCGTCACAAGACAAGCCCTCACATAGAATCCTCAAGGCCAAAGAACAAATCACTCCGGGAAATAGAGATAGAGATGAGAAAAATGAACAAGAATTGGATGGAACTAGAAAAGAAGGCCGAGGACAGAGTGTGTGGGTTGGAGAATGCTGGTCGTCGGCCTATGCTCCATTGAGAGTAACAGGCGTAAGTAACGTGTTTATTTGAGAATATTCTGTTGCCTATAATCAATTTGTTGAATACAAATAGATTTACAAATCTCTCCCGATTTTCATTTCTCTTTCCTACTTCATATTGTTTCATGATATCTTCATATTCAGTGTTCTTCGTTCCAACTTTGGCATTTAGATCTTCTATCAGAATGGTAGGAGTAATGATGAATAAAACGAGTAATATTGAATGATTGTGTTTGAAGGATCAGTCGATGGTTTGTCCATAGTTTTTAAAACATCAGTATTATTGATTGAAATTTTGAACTTTATCAAATATTAGCTCATACGTAACGTATATGAAGCCCTTGAAGTAGGTTTTGTAATAGGCAGTACTTGTTAACGATACATTTTAGTCATTGTAAAAGAACTCATACTCTCTGAAGATTTTCAGTCAGCTAACAAGCGGTAAGTAGCGAAAATAAAGTGAAATGTACTATCAATGGCCTCTGATTACCTCATGTTTAAACATAGTGTGGTATGTAGATATAAGTAGTATATGACGTGAGTCATGAACAGAATGTCTGGCAGTAGAGAGACGAGAAGAAGATCGAACAGTAAAGAATGACAAAAGAATGCAAGTTGTATGAAAATGCAAGAACAAAGGTAGTCTGTGTCATTTTGAGACAATGGATGAACATTTTAGCAAATTCAGCATTTACCATATATGATTGTTAGATTTTGACTAACTAGTTATGTCATTTGTTCTTACAGACATTCGATTGTCCCTATTGGTGTTCTTGTTCCCTACAATAGTACAGTCAATTTCGATTCTCTTGGATTAGTAGCTATCTCTCAAAGTATTATATTGAATTCGCTTAATGCTAATGATCAAACGATACATTGGTACATTCGTTTATTATGGTATGATATTTATCTTCATTGAATTGGATCCCATTGTTGTTCTATTCAATGAATAACTTATCAAATTAACAGAATTAAGTAAAGTATAATATCATCTGATTACTTGAATACGGTTAAATGAATTATCCATTCATTCTTATTAGAAGGGGTTTTGTGGAGATTTTAGTAATTTCAATGGATTAAGATCATGAGTCAGTTGAAGGTAGACCATCATGGAAGACCTGCAAGAACTGGACACCTGTTTTATCTTATTGTGGGACTCCTCAACAGTGGATGTAATGTTCAATTTTGTGGATTAATTGAAGTTAAACATTAACACCATTGGATGTCGGCTAGCTCAGTGGTCTAGTGGTTAAGTGTTCGCGCTCAAAACCACTAGGTCCTGGGTTAGAATCTCGCAGGGGGTGAGGTCGTGGATACGCATTACTGATGAGTCTTATAATAGGATGAAACGGCCCTACAGTTCTTTCAGATTTTCCATGGTGGTGTCCTATCTAGAACTGATCACTTATATTTCTATCTACATCAATATCAAATCGACTCTACTCACCTACTTAATGGTTTAGTTTACATATATAATCTATTGGTTTGAATGATTTTCTTTTTTTGTGGTTAGTGTTTTTTTTTTATTTTTACTGAATTAGTTTCTATGGGATGGGGTTATTCACCCCATATATTCAACCCCCTTCCTTTATCTAAAATTGAGACCAATCGTAGCCCAAGCAAAACAGCTCCAAGTGGAGCTGTTTGAATCACAATAGACCATAGCTTCAAGTTAATATCTACACATGATAAATCATGTATACTTTATTGATAATCAATAATTTAAGAATGATTGATTTTCATTGAAAACAATTAGACTTGATGATAAAATTTAATCAATAAATTGAATCGAAAATACAAAAAAAAAATTTTTTTTTTTTTGATATTAGATCTGATTATTATTCTTGTTGATAGAGATTGATTGTATATATGTCTATAGAGAAATACACAAATTATTGATTAGCAAAATTTAATCAATATTCAAGTATTATCATATAATGATTAATTGACATTATATAATGTATCATTATATAGTTAATCATAGATATGTATGTGTATATAGGGTATATGAAGAATAGGAATAATATGATACAAGTAAAATGTGTACTCATGATTGTAATGATGATGATGCTTTGGATGATGATGACGATGCTTCTCATGATGATGATGCTTCGGATGATGATGATGATGCTTCGGACGACGATGATACTGCTTTGGATGATGATGATGATGCTTCGGATGATGATGTTGATGCTTCGGATGATGATCACGGTGCTTCGGATGATGATGCTTCGGATGATGATCATGATGATGCTTCGGATGATGATGTTGATGCTTTGGATGATGATGATGATGCTTCGGACGACGATGATACTGCTTTGGATGATGATGATGATGCTTCGGATGATGATGTTGATGCTTCGGATGATGATGTTGATGCTTCGGATGACGATGATGCATCGGATGATGATGATGCTTCGGACGATGATGATAATGCTTCGGATGATGATGATGATGCTTCGGATGATGATGACGGTGCTTCGGATGATGATGCTTCGGATGATGATCATGATGATGCTTCGGATGATGATGTTGATGCTTCGGATGATGATGATGCATCGGATGATGATGATGCTTCTGATGATGATGATGATGACGGTGCTTCGGATGATGTTGACGATGCTTCTGATGATGATGATGATGATGATGATGATGATGGTACTTCGGATGATGATGTTGATGCTTCGGATGATGATGATCCTTGGGATGATGATGATGATGATGGTGCTTCGGATGATGATGTTGATGCTTCGGATGATGATGACGGTGCTTCGGATGATGATGCTTCGGATGATGATCATGATGATGCTTCGGATGATGATGTTGATGCTTCGGATGATGATGATGCATCGGATGATGATGATGCTTCTGATGATGATGATGATGACGGTGCTTCGGATGATGTTGACGATGCTTCTGATGATGATGATGATGATGATGATGATGATGATGATGATGATGATGATGATGATGATGATGATGATGATGATGATGATGATGATGATGATGATGATGATGATGATGATGATGATGATGATGATGATGATGATGATGATGATGATGATGATGATGATGATGATGATGATGATGATGATGATGATGATGATGATGATGATGATGATGATGATGATGATGATGATGATGATGATGATGATGATGATGATGATGATGATGATGATGATGATGATGATGATGATGATGATGATGATGATGATGATGATGATGATGATGATGATGATGATGATGATGATGATGATGATGATGATGATGATGATGATGATGATGATGATGATGATGATGATGATGATGATGATGATGATGATGATGATGATGATGATGATGATGATGATGATGATGATGATGATGATGATGATGATGATGGTACTTCGGATGATGATGTTGATGCTTCGGATGATGATGATCCTTGGGATGATGATGATGATGATGGTGCTTCGGATGATGATGCTTCGGATGATGATGTTGATGCTTCGGATGATGATGATGCTTCGGACGACGATGATAATGCTTCGGATGATGATGATGATGGTACTTCGGATGATGATGTTGATGCTTCGGATGATGATGCTTTGGATGATGGTGATGATGATTTGGATGATGATGATCATAATCGATTGATCAAAGCAAGTTTACTCATGAAGATAAAATAATATTGATAGAGTAATCATCAAAACATTTTTATCACTTCAACTCTTTACTACATACTGGAATATGGTTAGTTATCTGATGAATGTGGTTGATTCTTACTTACATTACTTTACATTACTTACGCTTGTTACTCCTTGTGAAGGAGCATAGGCGGCCGACTAGCATTCTCCAACCTACTCTATTCGGAGCCTTCTTTTCTAGTTCCATCTAATTCTTGTTCATTTTTTTCATGTCTGTCTCCGTTTCCCGACGTAATGTGATGAATTCCATTCAATTGATTGTTCCACAATGATCCGTAGAGTTGCGATTTGATCTGTACACGATCTATCTTTACGGAATCCTGCCTGTTGGTCACGAATTCGGGCGTCTACGAGGTCCTTCATCCTGTTTGACAATACCCTGTTGAAGACTTTTCCTAGTATTGAAAGAAGAGTGATTCCCCTGTAGTTGTCACAGTTGCTGAGATCGCCTTTCTTTGGTATTTTGACTAGAAGTCCTTCTTTCCAGTCTTTTGGTACCTGTTCCTCATCCCAAATCTTTCTGGAGAGAATGTGGAGTATCCTTGCAGTTGCCGCTAGGTCTGCTTTCAGTGCCTCTGCTGGAATGTTATCTGGTGTTGCTGCTTTGCCGCTCTTGATTTGTCTGATAGCCATATTGATTTTTTCAATTGTTGGTGGGCCAACATCGATTGGAAGGTCCATGAGTGCTGCTTCGATGTTGGGTGGGTTCAGTGGAGCTGATCGATCCAACAGTTTTTTGAAGTGTTCTACCCATCTGTTTCGTTGTTCTTCAATGTTGTTGATTACCTTGCCTTCCTTGCTTTTCACTGGTGGTTCTGGTTTACGGTGATTTCCAGAGAGTTTCTTTGTTATGTCATACAGTTGTCTCATATTTCCTTCTTTTGTGGCCTTTTCCGGCGTCATTGCTAAATCTTCCACATCTTTACGTTTGTCAGTTCTAATGCCTCTCTTCACTTGCTTGTTTACTTCTGTGTATTCAGCTTGTGCCTTGGCTTTTTCTGCTCTTGTTGGGCTGGTATCGATTGCTGTCTTCTTGATAGTAATATTTCAAAAGAACTCTTTTAGACTTAGTAGTTAAGTGGATAAAGCGATACCGTTTGAAGCGAACGGTACTGTATCCGAGCGCTAGAGAGAACATCAACACTGAGGTAAAGGTATATTCAGCTAATCATAGAACGAAACGCGAGTCAAACTGGATTTTACTGCTAGCCATTATCTATCTTTGCTTATAATGCTTTTGAATTAAAGTAATATCGAAGCAGCACGCAAAGTATGTACACATACCAATAAGCGACTGATCAATTGCAGTTCTAAACATCAATTGGAAGATTCAAGTAAAACAATACCAAGTGAATTTAACTCTTGTAGACTATTGTAATCATCTTTGCTTTTACAGTGAACATACACTCTTCTTTAACAACCTACACATAGAATGTTTTTAACTGATTTCATATATGTGGTCTAGAGGTTAAGTGCTCATGAGCGAGATCAATAAATCTGGGGTTTAAATTTCGTGAGATGGGATCGTGGATGCATACTGTAGAGGAGTCTCACAATACAGTAAAGTAGCGATCCAATGCTTTCAGGTTTTCCATGGTGATTCAGCTTCAATTGACTCATGATCTCAACTATTGAAATGAATGTATACTGGTTTGAAAAAAGAAATGTAATTAATATTTAAAGTGAATAAATAATGTTATTATCAGAAGGGGTATTGTGGAGATTGTAGTAATTTCAATGATTAAGATCATGAGTCAGTTGAAGCTAGACACCACCATGGTAAACCTAGAAGCACTGGATGGCCGTTTCGTACTATTGTGGGACTCCTCCTTGGCAATGCGCATCCACGACCTCACCCCCTGCGAGATTCGAACCCACGATCTACTGGTTTCGCGCGAGCATTTAACCACTAGATCACTGAGCTGGCTGACATCAAACGGTGTTAATGTCTAGCTTCAACTAATCCACGAAATTGAGCTACACATCCGCCGTTGTCTTCAGTGAGTTACTATTTCACAACAGACCTGGTTGAATTCCACTGTTCACTACTTCTCACTAGAACTCCAGGATATACCTCTTGAAGCTAGTCACTAGTGAGCATATGTTGATTATTATCAGAAGGGGTATTGTGGAGATTGTAGTAATTTCAATAGGTAAGATCATGAGTCAGTTGAAACTAGACAACACCATGGAAAACCTGTAAGCATTGGA